CCCACACGGTCAGGTCTTTCTTCTTTTCTTCTGCCCTCCATTCTTCTTCTTCTGATTCAGGTGTCAGTTTTCAGGCGGCGCCCGCGCCGACCCTTTTCTTCTCCTGTTGTCTGGGCGCGGCGGGGCGGCCTGCCTCCTACTTAATCGTTGATCCAATTAATTTGGGCACTTTTCTGCACCCCTTCAGCTGCCATCAGTCCGCTGAATGAGAACGGTCAACAAAGAGAGCGGAGGGAACACAGGCCGCTGTCGCTGATTGACACCGGTGCCACGGCGCCTACGTGGCGCCTTTATGCCGGGTCGAGTTATGGAACCCCGGAGGAGAGAGGTGGTCCGGGTGAAAGACACCAACATGTCTAATTAACTTGTGTCAAATGAAAAGTTTGGAGCGCCACACAAGTGTCTGTGCCACCCTGCAGGTTTTTATGGTTCCTGGTTGGGCTTTCTACACGGCGACGCTCATTAAACTGATGTCATCGTAGCTTTTCGTCTGCACCTGGCGCCTCTGTGCTCCATTATCAGGCGCCGGAGGGCACGCCACGCCGCCGTTAGCCTCAAACTGACACGCACTCTTCACCCATACACGCTGTGAAAAAACTAAAACATCTGGGTTCCAATACGTGTCAGAAGTGCTGAACCTCTTTGTTCAACTTTTATCAAATCCTTCACCTAATTGTTCATATTTAAAAAAAAACAACAACGAGCCGAAAGCAAGCACCCGTCAGAGGAAAGGCTGAATCTGAACTGATCATTTCTGTACCAAATGACCGAAAACTGATGTTTCACAGCTGAAGAGAGGAGAGAACCAGCTAAAATAAGCATAACACTAGCAAAAAAGCTAAAAACAGCAACTCACTGGCTAACATAAAACACTAACTTAAAGCAAAACACTGGCTAAACACAGCTAAAAGCTAGTTAAAACCTATAACGAGTAAAACACTGGCTAAAAGCTAAAGGGAAGCTAAAAGTTAAAGAAGGAAAAACACTAAATAAAGCTAAAAATGTCAGCTAAGGGGTGCAAAACAAAAAAAATAAACAAAACACAAGCTAAAATAAAAGAGGAAAACACTGACATAGCTAAAGAATAGCTAACGGTTAAAAGGAACACAGGCTAAACAAAGCTATAGTGGTAGCTAAGAAGAGCAAAACAGAAGCTAAAAATAAACACTAGCTAAAGTTATTAGAAACAAACCAATGACAAAACAAATCTAAAATGTAGCTAAAGGTTAAAATGAGCTAAACACAGGCTAAACAAAGTTAAAAGATTAGCTAAAAAGGGCAAAACGCAAGCTAAAAAGAAACACAAAAAATAAACAAACCGCTGATTAAACAAATCCAAAAAGTAGCTAAAGGTTAAAAAGAGCTAAAAACAGGCTAAAAAAGCTAAAAGATTAGCTAAAAAGGGCAAAACGCAAGCTAAAAAGAAACACTAAAAAGAAACAAACCACTGATGAAACAAATCCAAAAAGTAGCTAAAGGTTAAAAAGAGCTAAAAACAGGCTAAACAAAGCTAACAGTGCAGCTAAGAGTAGCAAAACACAAGCTAAAATTAAAAAGGAAAACAATAACATAGTTAAAGAGTAGCTAAATGTTAAATGCTGTTAAACACAGGCTAAACTAAAAGGTGCAGCTAAGAGGAGCAAAACAGAAGCTAAAATAAGCACTAGCTAAAAGTTAAAAGAAATAAACCACTGATGAAACAAATCTAAAAAGTAGCTAAAGGTTAAAAGGAGCAAAATACAGATAACACAAATCTAATGGTGCAGCTAAGAGGAGCAAAAACAAGCTAAAAATAAGCACTAGCTAAAATCAAAACAGGAAAACACTAACACTGACTAAACACAGCAAAAGGCTAGCTAAAAGCTAAAATATAGGATGCAACAAAAAACTAGCTAAAAGTAGCAAAACCTTGGTAAAACATAACAGACTAACTAAAAGGAGCAAAACACTGAACATAAAAACTAGCTAAAATTAAAAACAAACACAATGACTAAAAAGCTATTTAAAAGCTAAAACTGTTAACCAGCTACAAGCTAATAGTGTCTAGCTAAGTGTAGCAACACTGTTGTAAACGACAGACAATCAACAAAAGAATTGCTCTGTTTTTTAAATTTGCAGACATGGAGATAAAACTGTGTGGTAGTAGCTGAGAGTGATCCAACAGGCTGACGGCTAACACTTTAGCAAAAATCACATCATGAAATTAACAGCATTCAAGCTGATTTTAGTTTCAAACTCCTGCATTAAAGGCAGCGGGTGACGAGCATTCCTTCAAGGATTAGAAGAGATTTAATTATAAATTATTTAAGGAGGATTAAACTTAAAGGATTCAAAATAAAACCCATCAAAGTTTCAGCTGTTTCCTGTGGGTCAGCTCGTCTCCAGCGCCTCGTGTCGTTACAGAAGGTGGTTGAGACCCAGCAGAACCTCATTTACCTAATGTGAAAATGTGAATACATTATCTGCCATTATCTGAGAAAAACGAGCAGAATCAGGTCCTGAGAGCAATTTACAAATTATGTCATTTGATGAAGGCAGTGGGGAGTCTGACAAAGAAGAGCTGCAGGAGAATAAAACCTGTTATTACCTTTAACACACACACACACACACACA